TTCCTACTTTTGTCCAGATTCAGTTCTTCATTTTCATAACAAATCCAGAAAGTTTTGTATTTGTATAAAATTTAAGGCAGATCTTTCTTTTATTATTCCTTTGCCCTCAGATTACTTACTTTGAATGTCTGTTTCCTCCCTTACTGATTCAAGTGGGTAAGCACTGAGGGTAACTATCTTTCATAGATGAGGAAACCTGAACTCAGAAAGGTGGAGTAACCTGTCCAGGAATCCTTTGAATCCAGGTGTGTCAGATGTAGCAATCTCCAATTTTCTGATCTGCTACATCCATCCCCTTGTAACTCACCTTCAACATGAAGATTTAGAGTCCTACTTTTATAAGTCTTTCAAAATGCAGGTGGGAAAGTGTGGTGTTTGCCTGAAAGTTGGCTTTTTTAGTCCATCACAGTTGGCTCCTCTGGTCTCCAGCTACCTTAACTGGAAACACATGGTCTTGCAAATCATCAAGTATGTGGGACTAGAATAAGAGACAGACTGTGTGTACACAGAGCTGCAAGACTTGGTGTGAGCAAGGCTTGTGGGGGCAAGACCCTGGTGAGAGCGACACCATCATGGTGGAGAGACTGTGACATTGCTGTGGACAGTGGCAAGGTGTGACCCAAGGCTTCTTGCATTTTATAGGTTTGGCTGTTCTTGCCGGATATTTGAAGGAGAAGCTGACTTTTAACTGCTCTGAGGCAAATCTTGCTGGACGATTGGGATTTGACTGCTGAACTGAAACCTGAGCCTGGATTTGTTGAGGAATTATGCCTTGGAACTGTTGGGCTAAAGCCTGGACTTGTATTGGATGATATTCTTTGCCTCCCTTACTCACTTTCCTAATAAACCACATTGCTGGTACAACTTTGAGTCTGTAAGTCAGCAACATATAAAAACCTTTTGCTGTTGGTGGGACTCTACGAGCACTATGGGGCTGTACTATGGACTCTTATCTGCTTTCTGCTCTGCGGTGGTAAGGGTCTATGCTATTCTCATTCCCTCTAGTCCTTTCAGAAAGACACGTGTGGCTCTGTGCCACTGTGCCCCTTTTTCTTCCGTAGAGACAGAAAGCAAGAGAAATGTTGGAAACTTCTGTTTGCTGGGTGTTTATTTACCTGACCTTGAGCACTTTAAGTGTAAACTGTGTAATACAGGTGACAGCAACATTTTATCAGTTAAAAGAACTGAGTCAGAGAGTAACCACCTTGTGTGACTTTGGAGCCCAAATTTGAACTGTTTTCTTCTTCTATGACTCCTGGGTACACAATCACAACACACATACAGTTGATCTTGTTCCTATGTTTTGGTTGGGTTGGTTGGTTTGTTTTGAGACTCATCCAGGTGTATTTGTCCCCTGTGTGTTTATAGTGTTTCTGGTTTGTTTGATTTTTTTTTCTCCTGGTCAGAATTGTATTGAGTTCTGCCAAACATTATTGAAACAGTAAGGAGTACTGTGGCTAAAGGGTTTGGGGTTTTTTTCCCCCCAAATAAAATGTTCTGATCAGAGGATAGTGTGGAGTGGGTTCAAGTGCTGGAATCGGCCGAGGAATGATCCCAAGGGGGTTTTTCATAGCTTCGCTAAGTTGCCTTTTACACCATCAGTTTGGAAATATGTTTCTCTTTTTTTTTTTTTTTACAGTAGTAAATTTCTTACTGTCGTTATTGTTGCTAGGTGCCATCTAGTCAAGTAAGACTTAGAGTGACCCAGAGGACGCATCTGAATCCTGCGCCATTCTTATCACCTCTGACACACTTGAGCCCATTGCTGCATCCATCTCATTGAGGGTCTTCTTGTCTTGTGTCAGTAGTTCAGTTTTTAAAAGTTTAAAAGTATTGACTAGCTTTAAAAACAAAACCATGTATATAATTAGTCCCATCCTCCAAATATCCAGTAAGACTGATTGGAAGTCTTTAATATTTTTCATTTTATTAGATTAGATAAAAATATGTCCATGTTATTTGACTATAATGTTGTTGTGAACTGCTGTTGAGTCAAATCCGACTCATAGTGATCCTGTGAACAAGTATCTGAACGCTGTCCTGTCCTGAGCCATCTTTCTCTCTGATATGCTTGAGCCAATTGCTGGTTGTTATGTTCTGTCAAGTAGGAACTGACCCATAGCTAATCCTCTAGCCAGTTTTCAGAGCCAGTTATTTGCACAGTAGGAGAATATCCACTTTTTTACCCTGTGAAGCAGATGTTGTTGTTGTTGTTGTTGTTGTTGTTGTTGTTGTTATGTGCCATCGAGTTGCTTGCGACTCATAACGACCCTATGTACAAGAGCTCTAAACGCTGTTCTATCCTGTGCCAACCTAGCCATCTCAAACACACTTATTCCCACCTCTCCAGTCACAGAATCGATCCATCTCACCACAGGTCTTCCTCTCCTTTGCCGCCCCTCTACTATGCCAAACATGATGTCCCTCTCCAAGGACCAGTCCTTCCTTGCAACATGCCCAAAATATGTCAGATGAAGCCTCAGAATCCTTGACTCTAGGGAACATTCTGGCTTCACCCTCTCCAGGACAAACCTGTTTATTCTAGCAGTCCATGGTATATTCAACACTTTTCTCCAGCACCGCAGCTCAAAGGCATCAATTCTCTTTTTGTCAACCCTATTCACTGTCCAACTCTCTGATGCATAGCACTTAATTGTGAAGACTATAGCCTGGATCAGGCGCACCTTAGTCTCCAGTCTGACATCGTTGCACTTCAGTACTCTTGAGAGGTCCTTCACAGCCGACTTTCCCAATGCAATTTAGTCTCTTGATTTCCTGGCTGCTGTTACCAAGAGTGTTGACTGTGGAGCCAAGTAAATTAAAACGGTTAACTATCTCAATCTCCTCACCATCCATGCTGATGCTGCCAATTGGCCCAGTGGAGCAGATAGAGAATTCTAACTATGTGCCTTGAGATTGGCAGCATAACCCCTTACCACTAGACCACCAGAGCTCACCTGATCCCATTGCTTGTTCTCGTTGTGTGTCCTGTAGAGTTGAAGCCACCAATGGCCAATCCTCCAGTGGGTTTTCGGAGGCAGTAAATCACCCTGGAGGGGATTGCCCATCCTTCTCCTGTGGAGCAGCTGGTAGATTCAAACTCCACGCCTTTGAGATCGGAGCACATCTTCTTATTACTCTGCCAGTCATGACATTTGACTTTTTTTTTTCCTTCAGTATTATATGTTTTCCATCCAGACTGCCCTTAGCCTTTGTATACCAAAACCCAAACCCAAACCTGTCACCTTCAAGTTGATCCCAGCACATGACCACTCTCCACTGGATTTTCAAGGTTACTAATCCTTCTTGTGGGCAGGAGGGAACTGCCTCATCTTTTCTCCAAGAAGCAGCTGGGAGATTTGAACCAGCCTTTCCGTGAGCAGCCTGACACATCCTAATGCATCCGCCCACCAACGTACCATGTTCACTTAACTCTTCAGTGTGTGCACATTTGGATTGATGCCATTTTACTTTTATAAGATGGTGGTGAACGTCGTGGGGTTAAAGTTTGGTTGTTCATTTTTTCAATTGGATTAAATTTTTTTTTTCTTTAAAAAAAGGTAGAATTTTTTAAAATGGAATTACAGGACAAAGGGTTAGGGCATGTTTTAGCATCTCAGTAAGGTAGTCACATTTCCTATTACAGGGTTCTCCTACAAGGGATATTGTTGCTCGGTGCCCTTTGAATAGACTTTGACTCACAGAGAGCCTCTGAACAACAGGCCTGAACCATGCCCTGTCCTAGTAGACTTTGACTCATAGAGACTCTGTGAACAATAGATCTGAACCAGGCCGTATCCTATGCCGTCCTCACTGTCTCCTTCATACCTGACCCCACTGATGTAGTCACTGTGTTGATCCATTTTCCTGAGGTCAGAAAACTTGGACAAGTTACCACTTGGTAACTTGTATAAAAAAGAAGTGTGCTCGCTCCAGCTTCCAGGAACCTGCTTGGATGGGACCCGTGATGAAAACCACTCTAGGCGCTGTCCACCTGACAGCCTTCATCAGGCCTGCTGCTGTGCATTTTTTCCAAGGTTTCCTGTGAATTCCGAGTGGTTGTGTGTTGTTCTGACAAGGTTACCCACTGGGATCTCATTTGTTATTCTGTTAACATCTTGTGAGGAACACAATGTCAGCATCCCCTGGGTGGTTTATTCCTCCTCCTGTATTCACGCCCTGTTCTGCAGTGGGGTGAAGAAAATATTTCCTAGATTATGGCCAGATCCTTTCTATGTGTGTGTCCAAGAACAAGTATGTAGTCAACTAAATTATAGTTGGAAGAACAGATAAGAATACGTTTTAACAATACCACTGAGTAGTAATTTTTAAAGATGTGGAAATCAGGTACGGTTTAAAGAAGTACACTGACCTAAAGAATGTCCGTGAGTAGCATGAACAGTTTATACTTGACTACAAGCCAGAAGCGACTTGACGGCACTTAACAACGACAACAAGCCAGAAGGTTGGTGACTCTAAATGAGAAGCTTAAACGTATCTGTAGTAACAAACATTTTATTCCAGGAAGCTTGAGTGTAGTGTTTGTGTGCCAGCGTGTTGAAACCATTTCATAAATATTGTGTTGCCTTTCTCTGTGTCTGGACAGACCATGTCCATTCAGAAAACAGCTTCCACCTGCCAAAATGTAAATCACATGGGCAGATTAACATGCACTGCGTACTCACTAGATTTCTAATGTTGTGGTCAAGTCGGAACCCAGTCACAGCTGTCCCTCCAGCGGGTTTGCAAGGATTGTGAATCATGTGGGTGAAGATTACCCATCTTTCTCCCATGGAGCAGCTGGTGGGTAACATTACATGCCATGGTGTTGACAGCACAACCCCTGGTTACCCCTAGACCACCAGCGCTCCCTAAATTTCTAGTGAGCACCATTTATGTTTACGATGCTTCATAATTTTTAAGCAGCAAATTAATATTAACTGGATTTTTTTTTCTTTTTTTCTCCTCCTTCCTGTTCTCCTGTGCCCTCTCTCGTCTAGTCTGAAGTTTCCTGGATCCCCAACAAGCACTACTCGGGGATTTACGGCCTGATGAAGCTGGTCCTCACCAAGACCCTTCCTGCCAACTTGGAAAGGGTCATCGTCCTTGACACAGACATCACCTTTGCCACTGACATTGCAGAGCTCTGGGCTGTATTTCACAAGTTCAAAGGTAACTGTCACCCATTTCGTCCTGGTGTCTTTGTAGCCATGCCTAGTATATTGACTGGTTTCTATTTTTTTTTTTAAAGTGGGGTCCACTCTAGTGAGCTTTTGATTATGAAATGAGTAAGACACTATTGCAGATAGGGTTTCTTATCAGACCCACTTCTGTTTGAAATCTGTCGTAGCTGGAATTTTGTTGCATTTCTTAGTGAATCCTGATCTCAGGAGAGGTGAGATTCTGGGTTCATAGAGCCAAATGTATATGTTACATGTAAGTAACTGATTGTTGGTTGACGCCTGTGTAGAAGGTAAGCATTTGTTGTTGTTTTCTGTTTGTCAGATGGTATCACGAACTCTGGGAAGCCACAGGTGTGGGTATTGATCAGAAAGTGAAAGTGTTCTTATGGCCCTCTGTCATGAATGTGGTGCTTTATCGCTTCAAGGAGATGCATAGGTTTGGTTCATAAGGCATTCCTTCAAGGCTGGTTAGTTTGTAGTGATTACGATAACTCGTGTGTCTGCCTCGAGTTAAAAGTGTATCTGTTGGGATACTGTTAAGGGAACTTGACTGTGTTGTGGATACATGAAACAAATGGCAGATTGGCACAAATCTCTGCCTATTATTTTAATACCCCAATCCCAGATGTCTTCCTTAAATTGCATTATCTCAAAATCCCTCTGTTTGGGACAGATACAATGAGAGAGAAATTTAACAATGAGATTATCACTTTTTTTGTCTTTCTTGTTTCCTCCTTATCTTTTCAAATTACCCTCTGGCTTCTGTGGCCAACAGTCTCTCCTGACTCTTCTCTAGAGCATGAGATGCCACTTGGTGACAGTAAATCAAAACACTTTGAAAACATCACAGGCTTTTCCTATAGGCTTCTGTTTCCATTCACAGAAGGTACATTCTTGCCCATCCTGATTTCTGGCACCTTCCTTCCCTGAGCCTCCTAACAAGCTGCTGTCTGCTCGGTTCTGCCTGTGGCAACCCCGTGTGTGGGGAGAATAGAGTGCGGCTCCGTTGGGTTTGCAGTGGCTGACTTTTCCTGAACCAGATCACCAGGCCTTTCTTCAGAGGCACCTCAGGGTGGGACTCAGGTCTCCAGCCTCTCTGTTAGGTGCCCCACTGTTTAGCCTCTTGCACCACTAGACCCCTTACCTTGGAGCTAATTGAGAAGATCCTTCAGCAAATCATCTGGGTTCTTCCATGACCACTGGGAATTCTCTCCTCAGACCAGAATTTCCTCTCCTCATCTGTCTCAATAAATAATTGACACCAACAACAACAAAAAAACATCGTCTAGCAATACTCTCGAAAGAGTATGCCTTTGCATTTCCAGGAGAATCCTGGGAATTCTTCCTTATGCTTTATAAGTGTCAGGACTCGGATGAATGCAGGCTTTAGCTCCTGTTGGGATCATAATCACGTGTCCTGGCTTCTACCTGCAGCTCCTAGCCTGCCCGCTGTCATTCTGCTTCACCATCAGATTGCACTCACTGGGGGCAGTTTTCCATCACTGCATGGATTTTCCTAGTAAACATTTAGTGCATCCCTATTACATGTCAGAGGACTCTGGGTAGCACAGTTTGTACTTGACCATGAACTAAAGGTTGGCACTTCAAGCCCACGCAGTGGTACTTTAGAGAACTCACTCCCTCTTTTACTGTCTTGGAAATGACTCATAGCTGACTCCAGCAGGTTTGAAGGCAATAAATGGCATCAGAGGATACTGTCCATCTTTGTCTTGAGGAACTGCTTGTGGATTCAAACCCTGTAGAGGCGCCACCTTCAGCTCAGAAGTACCACTTCCCTATAGGCTATAGCACCGAGCTCCCTGCCTCAAAGAAGGCCAGCTGACTTGCTGTTGTTTTTACCATGGAGGAAATTCTGACCCATGACTCAGAATGCCACCGTTGTTAGCCAAGAAACCCTGTGGAACTCGGTTCTGTTCTGCTGCACATAGGTTGGTATCCACCAGATTGCATCGAGTTTGATCTTTTTTAAAAAAATTTATATTGGTTTGCTTATAAAGTTTCACACTATCCTTTGTTCACATTGTATTTCATTCAGTCATTTCCATTCATAATGCTTTATAAAATTAACCCTCATTAAACTATGCCCATCATTGCCCTGTCTTTCCAGATGCCTGTTGGATCTCTCTCATTTCCTTTACCCACCTCTCCCTCCACCCACCAGATTGTGAGACCCTATGATTTCCCTCCTGCCCATGCTCACCCCTCTGCTCCCACCCTACCCACTTGAATCCGCATACACATTTTACTGGTTATCTTTCCATTTCTACAATAATGGTTGTATGCAGTGTTTGTCCTTATGGGACTGATATAGTTTACTCATCATAATGCTCTCCAGTCCCTCCCAAGTTATGTGGTCATTTTCAAAGTCATTGTTCCTGAGTGCTGCACAGTATTCCATTGTGTGAATGTACCACAACTTCTCAATCCATTCGGTTGTAGTTGGACACTTAGGCTGTTTCCATTTTCTTGCAGTGGTGAATAACTCTGCTATGAGCGTTAGTGTACAAGTCTCCATTTGTGTCTCAATTTTAATTTCCCTGGGGTATATTTGTAGCAGTGGAATAGCTGGGTCATATGGAATTTTTTTATTTATTTATTTTCATATGGAATTTTTATGTTCAGCTTTTGATGGTGTGTCAGGCAGTGCACCGAGCTCAGAATTTTAAGAGATGAGAAATATGAGCTATGTTGAGGATCATTACCAATCTGGGAGGGGTCAGGGAAGACAGTATCATGGAGAAGGAGATAGCTGTACTTTGTCTTATTGGATGAAGGCAGTGAGACAAGTGTGGCTGGTGCCCACAATCCCCTTTGAAATTAAAGGGCTTCTTAGCTTCACTTTTGGGAGCCCTACCTACAAGTGACCTTCACCTACAGACCCCTTTTGTGATATCCTCAGTTGAAGAAAGCACCTTGGCCTGGGTTGCATCCTGGAGAATTCTGTACAATTAAATGAAGGTGCACTAGAAAAGACCAGGCTTACTCATCCAATGGAGACTTGTAGAAGCCCTGAAACTATGGTCTTTGGTGACTCTTCAAGCCTGGAATGGAAATGGAAATCACCCGTTGACCTCGACTTTCAGCCCAACAATTGACAGACTTTAAAACTATCAATAAAAGCCAGGGGAAGATGCACTCCTTGAATAATCAGCCGCACAAGATTGATAGCGTAGCATTTACCCAAGGTTAAATCTCGGAGCACGAAGAAGGATAAATGGATGGGAGGAAACTGCGTGAATGCCCTTGTTTTGCAGGGACTGCGTTCACAGTCACAAAACAAGATGCATATGACTTGTTGGATGGAAAACCAAACTACTCTGTTAACTTTTATTCAGGTATTAACAACAACAACAACAACAACAACAAGCAACCCAACCCTTCACACACCAATGACAGATGTATATGGGATCCTGTTGGTTCAACACTGATGATGCCTCATTGTGACTACCAGACACTGGGTTTCTCCCTCTGTACCCCTCTCTCCTTTTCCTCCTGATCCGAAAAACAATTCCTATTTATCCTCTTGCATGCTCACTTCCATCTGAGTCTGCGTCCCCAGAATCCCGCCGTGCACCCCACACACAGAACTGAACGTCTCCCATGGAGGTGTGTGTAATTGAGCCTGATCACCGGAAACAGGTGATCAGAAATGGTGTGCAGAGTCCTAGCTAGGGAGTTAATTACCTTCATCCCATCCCATCCAGGACTGGCCCTGGTGTTAATAGAGTTTCGAATCCAGCTGCAACACTACTTGCTGGGCTTTTTAAATACTTTCAGTATCATCTGTGGAGGAGATGCTACCAGAAAGGTGTGCTGCTCTTAAGGCTAGATGATTTACACATGAAGGGCTTTGGGGTTCAGAGCAGTCCTTGGGGCTGAGCCTAGTATGAGGTTAGGGTAGGCCAAGGATAAGGGAGGCTGGAATGTACAGGGTGGAGTTCACTGGGCTGGATTTCACTTGTTCATTCTCTCACTGGTTTATTTCCTGCAGTTGGTAAGCTCCCACTGCACAGAGACATAGATAGAGGCTGTTGTTATCTTAGGGAGTTCCGCTGGCCTACTTCTTAGGGAGTTGCAATGCTGACTCGAAGGATGAGAAGTCTCCCGACCTCATGAAATCTACAGCTTTGGAAACTCAGTGAAAAGTCAGGCTTGAGTCGCTTCCAACTGCACGGTAATGAAGTTTTATTGGCTGTGAGTTGTTATCTAAACATGTGGCAGATGCAGCACCTGTTTTCAAAGAACTCAAAAGGCAGAAGTGAAACTTTTCTGTATTGCCAGAAAAATCAAACAAACAAAAAACCCACCCCCTCCCCACACACACACCCCCAACCCAAAAAACCAAAAACCAACAGAACTTATTGCTGTTGAGTCAGAATACACTCATAGAAGACCCTCCAGCAAAAACCTCCAGCAGGTTTTTGGGGGCAGTAATTGCCCACCTTTCTCCTGTGGACCTGCTAGTGCTGAAACCATTCAGGAAACTGTTTCCATAATCTAGGTGAGAGATGATGGGAGCTGAGACCTGCGTGGAGCACTTGAAATGGTGACAAGTCATGTTTGGGACACTCTTGTCATTTGGGTCCTCAGAGAATGTGAGGAGTGAGAGAGAAGGAAGTCCAGGATGATGCCAAGTTGACTGGAGAGATCAGATTGTGCAAGAAGACCACAGGAACAAATCTCAGGCAAGATCAGGAGTTGGTGGTTGTTGTTGTTGTTATTATTAAGTGCTGTCGAATTACAAGTAACTCATGGCGACCCTATGAACAAAAGACCTGAACACTTGTATAACTTTCATCCTTTCTCCAGGTTCATAGGGTTTCCAAAGGCAAGCTATTTCAGAAGTGGTTACCACTCCTGCTTAGGACATTTTAAATCTGAAAAGCCTATTTGGACAAAGCCAGAAGGTTAAGGAGGGGAGCAGGTGTAGGACCACAGGCTTACCTCATTTTACTGCACTTTACAAAT